GATTTGACAAATCATAGGTCTGACCCTTCGTAACCAAATTATCAATATAGATTAAGAAAAGAAGGTCCTAGAATGGACCCTTGCGGCACTCCTAAAGAAACAGAATGTTTACATCAGGGTGTTTTTACTCTTTCCAGACAGACTTAGACTTGATTTTGTTTTTTGTTTTGTTTCATGAGATTCATTGGAAGCATCGTGATAATGTTGACAGAGTATAAAGAAAACTGCACAGAATTTGTAGCTATGTCTTCCTTGCCTAATTTCTAGTGTTTTCCCCTCCGCACAATCACATTATTTATCTCAAGTGTGACATCGAATGTTAGTTTCAAAACGGCAGTTTAGTTATTTGGGATTCATCTCTCTGCAGTTAAAGCAGCATTTGTATCTTATGTCAAACTTGTGCAAATACCATGCAGTGTTTCCAATCGTCAGAATAACATTTTCTGAAATAGAACATCGGATTTCGTTGGTTTGAATTCCCTGATATTTCTCAAAATTCCTCTTACGCTCCATTTATGTTGTTTACTAGGCCGAGGATAACGTCATACGTCTTTTGGTACACCATACTAATCAACTAAAACCTCCAGTTTTGCGAGGAAAATTAATATACTGATACCATGGTTCGCTAAACACTCGACTGTCAAAGCGGTCTGGGTGGGCACTGTGGGGATATGTCAAGTGTTCCTCGCGTTGATTGGTTACTTAAAACGGGCATTTCTCTTCCTGATCAGGGTGCCTGTTAGCCGCGACATCCGCATATTGGATATTAACCCGTGAAAGTTGGCATTAAACCCCGAGTGTTTCGATAGACGTGTTCATTGTTTCTCATTTTGTTGTCGAAACAGAATTAGGCAAATTGTAATGTGAGTTACATTTCGAGAAAAAACAACAACAGACTATTTGCAATACTGGATCTTTTATTCACGTTTTTACTTTATTTTGAGGAGTTAAGGAGTAAAGACTACATTGCAAGAAAAACTTTACAGAAACTATAATGCTGCTGGATGAACAAGTGTCGAGTCGTTTTGAATTATAAAGACAACACAGCAAGGAAGTTGAGCAAAATCTTCCGAAAACCTAAATTATGGCATTCTTGGATGGTTGCTTCGCATTTTAAATACATTTTGTCTCATTCTAAGAGTTTACTTTATTTGAAATGTAAAGACAACGTTGCAAAAACAAAATACAATCAACCAACTGTTGTTCGACTGGATTTTATCGAATAATTGGGATTTCTGTTCCATCAGTCAAAATGGTGAGTCCTCGCCTTTATTTATTTAATTGCAAACATATGCATATATGCCCATGTATTTTTTCGCTTTGGGAAGCCCCTTGTAGGTGCCCCTATTTTCTGTAAAAAGTGCCCTTTTTGTAGATGTCTTTACTTTGAAAGATGCACCACCCCCTACATAAATGAGGATGCTAAAATGAATACAGAAAAAATGTATAAATTATTACTTTCATCTGCATATAACTGGACAAACATGTGTTTCGTATATAAATGGTATAAAATGCGATATCGATTTAAGATTTTTTTTTAAAAGATCGTGGATAAATACCTTGGCTGTTTTTCTCTTCCTGTTTAAGTTATTACATGCATTGAATATCCATATTAATTCATATTAATTTACTTTTACTTAAGATATAAGTCGAAAAAACGCCTTGCCTGTTATATTAAGAATATCTCAAATTTCATGGTATTTTTAATAATTCATTTGGTAATGCAACCAAATTTATTCTTGTGAAACGCCTCGATGCAAATTAGTCAGAATACAAATTGAATACATAGGACAAACATTATGGTTTGCCCTACCTTATACAACACATAATACATGAAATGTTGACTATTGAAATTCTGTGCAATCATTCGTATGGAGGCCCTTAAGTATACATTTGGTTACATTACGAAAATGGCCTATTTAGAGGGACTGAGGTCTTAAAGATGAATGTCCATTTACAAGATTTATCTGCAGGGAAGTAGAGTTAATTGTCCAAAAATGGCAACATATCACATGCAGTCTCTGAATTATTATGTACAGTTACGTCAACTGAGCTGCATTTATCAGTATTAATTAATAGACATTTTGATCATCGAACTTTATGCCTCTTATCATCTAATATGAAGCCTTTTCCATTTCTTTTTTTTTCACATGGAAAGGACAAATATCTCATACGAGGCGTGATCCTTGTTTTCCTGACATGTGTATCCTTCGGTACGTATGATTCTGGTATTAAACGATGATTCATCATTATCATTATTATTATCATCATTATTAATACAGTGATAGAAGTAATAGTAGTATCAATATTAGTAGAAGAAGTATTAGTAGTAGTCGTAGTAGTAGTAGCAGTAGTAGTAGCAGTATTCAACATAAATACAATGAAACATTGATATTGACATTATTAATCAAAAATTGATGTTATTACCATTTATTTGGCGCTTTCAATACATGTATAAACAAAAAGAACGTACAAATGAGTGAGCAAAATATGGAAATAATTTCATTTTCAATTTCAATTTTTATCTCAATGGTGGACCCACGCTCCGCTATATGGTGTAGTTACTGGGTTCTAATGGGTTAACACCAGAAAAGATTTATACTCTTTACTCAATTTGTATTTTCTCCTTTTATATCTCATTCAAAGCCTCTGTCGTTTCTTCGAATGAGAACACGGGTACTTGTTGTTCGGACGGATTAGGGCTGAGTTACACCTTACCAATGTTCAACGAATGTAAGAAGGAAATGCATCATAATGGCAGTATGGTACAGACAATTCCAAAGCTCATCCCATACACATCTAAGGAAGCTTCTTGTCCAAGAAGGAAGAGTAAACTGGGGATCCCGCCCGGACACAAAGTGTGCAGATTTCCTGGTAAGTCGTTCTTTTCGAGTTAAATGATGATGCCTGCTAGTACAATAGTAATAAATTGTAGCTGATCTCCCGCCCCTCCCCCACTTTACACACCAGAGATAGGGGTTGCTTTCAAAGGAATGGAACATGCAAACGCGTACCCTAAATAACACTGAGGGGGGGGGGGGGGGGTGGACCTGTTCTACGGTTCGATTCTTTTGAAAAATGTAATCATGTAAATCCTTGCCAAAAGTGCCATAAGATTCGACACTATGTTAGAGATTATTTCATTGTCAACAGCGGTTGAAAGTATATCCATAGCATCCGGGTGTTATATCCTGAGAGCAGCCGGAAAAAAATGCCCCCCTCCCAAAGATTGTGTGACTCCATCTAGTCCATGACAAACCTTTGTCAAAAAAAGAAGCGATGTCATTTTACATTACAAAACACAAAAAAGACTCACAAAAGCCGAAATCTTTTGTTTTTAGTTCCTAGGTAGATGGGGTTGATAATCCCTGGTAAAACAGGTAAAAAGGTTTACATAATCCTCTACGGTTTATGATGAATTTTATATACCTCTCTTTAGTATTTTGAATGAATCTAGTCATCCGATTGGTCTAAATTGGAGTCGTGATTTTAGCCATGCCCGTCTTACGGTCAATAGTTAATATAAAAGATGCCCGTTGCCCTTGGTAACGGGCTTCATAGGTAAATTTGGCTGAAGACAAGATTGAATCGCCCAAACGGACAGGGTTTTATAAGGGGGAGCTTTAGGTGCTAAACCGACGGTTAACGGTTAGGTTGACTTATTACACGATGGAAAAACTCTTTTTATGAAGTTCTGAAATCAATTGTCATATAATTCAATTATTTTAATTTGATTGATTGATTTATTTGCAGTTTTATTTAACAGTGTAGCATTGCCAATTTCAAAATTGCTTTCCACAAAGGCGTTTGTGGTCTTGACTAAGTCTGTATACAATATGATTAATTACCAACATTATAATTTCTAAATTTCTATTCAAGCCTATCTGCACTAATTTAGCCAGGAGGGATTAGACCTCTCTGCGTGGTCACGGAAAGGTGGTTATCTCATCAAACCAGCTCTCAATTAACATAGGGAAAAGGGGATTATGGGGGACCAACTGTTGGTTACATAGAGGGCACAAGTAGCTACAAGAAGTGCAGTCCCAATTAGTGTTGTTTCCCCAAAAGCTTTATATTCGATTATAGTTGAAAAGGCAATTTGTTAACCAGAAATCGCTGATTATTAAGAATATGTCGGAAGGCATTGCAACCAAAATCAAAACAATTAATTATTTTGTGGGGGTGTGGGCGAATATGGAAGAGTGTGCATGTGATCCTGTTTCCAAACTCTGTATTTGTTTAATTTACTGTACTTCCATATCAGGATTGGTCTGCCTGCCTACTTACGAATAATATGATACATCTCGTCCTCCATCATGAGGTCAAGAACGAGCTACACTTAAGTAAATTAATTCCATTTTGTTGGTGTGTAGTACGTTACGCGTGTGGTTGTCTTAGCAACACAAAATGTCGATATACCCGAGTGATTCTAAAGCTAATCTAATTATTGGATGATTAATTAGCCAACTGGTCCTTTTAACAAGTTTACGATTATTAGTAGCACACTTTTTCAATGAGAGGTTTTAAAACGAGATCTGTATAAGTCAGTATTAATATTAGAAACTTCTACTAACTCTACTACTACTACTACTACTACTACTACTACGACTACTAAAACGAGTACTGCTACTACTACTCCTACTACTACTACTACTACTACTACTACTACTACTACGACTACTAAAACGAGTACTGCTACTACTACTCCTACTACTACTACTACTACGACTTTTTTCAGACCCCTCCTCCACTTCCTGGGGGGGGGGGGGGTCCATATTGTCCGCCAAAATGGCTTATATAAAGTGCAATGGGGAAATTGGGTGTCTTCGGGAAAATTTGAACCCCATCAATTTCTGATAGCTTAAATGCCTAAATGAATCAAAAATGCACCAAAAAAAAAAATGGCAAAAAAGTCCTACGGGAGCTGTTTCAGTGACATACCGTACCACACTAATATAGTTGCAGTGTCTTGTTCTCCTCTTTTAACTAAAGATTGTGGCGAAAATACCTGTCAAAATGGCTGGTGTGAGGAGACTATGGAAAACTACAAATGCCACTGCTCTGCTGGATATCGGGGGAAACGCTGCAATGAACGTGAGAATAAAAGCAATCACAATAATTATCTGAAAAGTCGGTTTGACAAAATTAATTAAAAACCATCTATACAACTAATTTTCATCATAATCAACCGATAGTCAGACCCCCCTTCCATCGTTCTCTCTCTGTCCCCTCCCCTTCTCCCTCTTCTTCTCCCCTTTGTCCTCCATATTTTTTGTCTGCCCCTCTCTCTCTTTCTCTCTCTCTCTCTCTCTGCCTTTATCTTTCTCTCTCGATCTTGCTTTTGTTATTTATCTTTCCTATTTCCCCTTCTCTTTCTCAATTCTCTCCTTCTCTCTTTCTATTTCACTTTTCGCCTCTCTTTATCTGTCTATCTTTTTCTGCCTCTCTCTCTTACGTTTATAATTTTCTTAATTTGTTCATTCTCTCTGACTTTCTCTCTCTCTCTCTGTGTCCGTCTGTCTATCTGTCTGCCTCTCTCGTTTACGTTTATAATTTTCTTAATTTGTTCATTCTCCCTCACTTTATCTCTCTCTCCCCTCTCTCTCTCTCTCTCTCTGTCCGTCTGTATGTCTGTATGTCTGTCTGTCTGCCTGTCTATCTCTCTGTCTCTCTTTTTTTTCTCTCTCTCTCTCGGCCTTTCTCTTTCTCTCTCGATTTCTATTTTAGCTGTCTTTCTCGACTTCCCTGCTCTCCATCCCTCCATGCCTCTCTCTTTCGCTTTCACTTTCACGTGTATATAATATGCTACACCGTGAAAGTAACATCTTGTTCTCGGCAGTCGATGAGGTATCAAAAGCTAGGAATTGAATATCATGTAAGGATTTGTTCAGTCAAATTTTAGTAAATATAAATTTAAATGTAGTTTGCTCCCCGGTTGTGTCATCAGGGCCCTGTTTTACAAAGAGTCTTACAAAGTCCTCTAATCAATTGCGAGTTTACAGTCCCCCATCTCTTTTGTACATAATTGCGATCGATATCAATCGCAAATAAGTTGCGACTAATATTAACTCTTTGTAAGACAGGGCCCCGGTGTATAAATCATATTTCTTCTTCAGAAACAACTACTACACAGGACACCAAAACGATGTCCACGATGGATAGCACCACCTCGGATCCTACCACTACTACTCGTAAGAAAACTACATTTTAATACACTATCTCTCTCTCTCTCTCTCTCTCATCCTTCTCTTTCCCTCTCGATTACTATTTTACATGTTTTCTCACTTCCCTACTCTCTCTATCTCTCTCTCTTTCTCTCTTTCTCTCTCTCTCTCCAATTTTCTCTCTCCGTCTCTCAATGCCTATCTATTTCACTTTTACTTTCACGTGTACAGAATATGCTACCACGTCCAGCAGCATGCATCTTGTTTTCGGCTGCCACCCAAGCGTTAAAACCTATAATATCATGTGATGATTTATCCTGTAAAGTTGGGGAGATATGAATATATTTTTATTTGGACGAAGGTTGTCTTGTCAAGTAAATATATATATATATATATATATATATATATATATATATATAAATATATATATATATCATATTTCTTCTTCAGAATCAACTACTGCACAAGACACCACAACGATGTCCACATTGGAAGCCACTACCTCACATCCTACCACTACTACTCGTAAGAAACCTTCATTTTACAATCTCTGTCTCTCTCTTTCATTTCTTCCTCTCTCTTTTCTCTCTCTCTCTCTCTCTCTCTTTCTATCTTTCTCTCTATCTCTATCTCTCTCCCTCCTTCGTTCTCTCTAAACATGCTCACCCTTTTCGGCTACAATTTCACAATTTTTTTCATTTACCTTCACTCTCTGTCCGTCTCTCTTTCTCTCTCTCTCTCTCCGCCTTTTCTTTCATTCTCGAATATTATTTTTCATGATTTTCCTCTTCCCTTTACTCCCTCAACATTTTTTTCTCTCCGTCTTTCTCCTCTTCTCTCTCTCTCTCTCTCTCATCCTTCTCTTTCCCTCTCGATTACTATTTTACATGTTTTCTCACTTCCCTACTCTCTCTATCTCTCTCTCTTTCTCTCTTTCTCTCTCTCTCTCTCCAATTTTCTCTCTCCGTCTCTTAATGCCTATCTATTTCACTTTTACTTTCACGTGTACAGAATATGCTACCACGTACAGCAGCATGCATCTTGTTTTCGGCTGCCACCCAAGCGGTAAAACCTATAATATCATGTGATGATTTATCCTGTAAAGTTGGGGAGATATGAATATATTTTTATTTGGACGAAGGTTGTCTTGTCAAGTAAATATATATATATATATATATATCATATTTCTTCTTCAGAATCAACTACTGCACAAGACACCACAACGATGTCCACATTGGAAGCCACTACCTCACATCCTACCACTACTACTCGTAAGAAACCTTCATTTTACAATCTCTGTCTCTCTCTTTCATTTCTTCCTCTCTCTTTTCTCTCTCTCTCTCTCTCTCTCTCTCTCTCTTTCTACCTTTCTCTCTATCTCTATCCCTCTCCCTCCTTCGTTCTCTCTAAACATGCTCACCCTTTTCGGCTACAATTTCACAATTTTTTTCATTTACCTTCACTCTCTGTCCGTCTCTCTTTCTCTCTCTCTCTCTCTCCGCCTTTTCTTTCATTCTCGAATATTATTTTTCATGATTTTCCTCTTCCCTTTACTCCCTCAACATTTTTTTCTCTCCGTCTTTCTCCTCTTCTCTCTCTCTCTCTCTCTCTCTATTCCACTTTCCAAGCGTCATGTGATGATGTAGCCTGTAAGATTTGTTTAATTAGGGTAAATGTGAATATGATTTTTGTTTTGCCCCAGGTTGTATTATCAGGTGTATATATGATATTTCTTCTTCAGAATCAACTACTACACAAGACACCGTAACGATGTCCACGATTGAAGCCACCACCTCACATCCTACCACTACTACTCGTAAGAAAACTACATTTACACTATTTCTCTCTATCTCCTTCATCTCTCTATTACATCTTTCTCTCTCTCCCTTTCCCTCCCTCTCACTGTCTATCGTTTACCTCTCTCTCTCTTTTTTTCTTCTCTTTCTCTCTCCCTCACCCTCTCTCTCTTTCTCCCTGTTTCGTTCTCTCTAACGATGCTCACCCTTTTCGGTTACAATTTCACAATATTTTCATTTACATTCACTCTCTGTCCGTCTCCCACTCTCTCCTTCCTTTCTTCCCTTCTCGAATACTACTTATATGATTTTTCACTTCTCTTTTCACCTCAACAATTTTCTCTCTCCGTCTGTCTTTCTCTTTCTATCTCTCTTTTTTTTCTCTCTATCTCTCTTTTTCACTTCTCTTTTCACCTCAACAATTTTCTCTCTCCGTCTGTCTTTCTCTCTCTATCTCTCTTTTTTTTCCTCTCTCTCTGCCCCCCCTTTCTTTCTCTCTCTCTCTCTCTCTATTCCACTTTTACTTTCATGATCATAAAATATGCTACCACATAGCAGCATCTTGTTCTCGGCAGCCACCCAGGCGTCAAAAGCTAGAAATTAAATAGCATGTGACGATTTATCCTGTAAGATTTGTTAAATTTTGGTAAATATGAATATGATTTTTATGTGGCCCCAGATTGTATTAACATTTACATTCACTCTCTGTCTGTCTCTTTCTCTCTCTCTCTCCTTCCTTTCTTCCCTTCTCGAATACTACTTATATGTTTTTTCACTTCTCTTTTCACCTCAACAATTTTCTCTCTCCGTCTCTCTTTCTCTCTCTCTCTCTCTCTCTCTCTTCCCCTCTCTCTCTCTCTCTCTCTCTCTCTCTCTCTCTCTTTCTCTCTCTATTTCGCTCTCGCTCGCTGTCTATTGCACTTTTACTTTCATGATTATAGAATATGCTACCACGTAGCAGCATCTTGTTCTCGGCAGCCACCCAGGCGTCAAAAGCTAGGAATTAAATAGCATGTGATGATTTATCCTGTAAGATTTGTTAAATTTTGGTAAATATGAATATGATTTTTATTTGGCCCCTGATTGTATTGAGAGGTGTATATATCATATTTCTTCTTCAGAATCAACTACTACACAAGACACCATAACGATGTCCACGTTGGAAGCCACTACCTCACATCCTACCACTACTACTCGTAAGAAACCTTCATTTTACAATCTCTGTCTCTCTCTTTCATTTCTTCCTCTCTCTCTTTTTTTCTCTCTCTCTCCCTCTCTCTCTCTCTCTCTTTCTCTCTCTCTTTCTCTCTATCTCTATCTCTCTCCCTCCTTCGTTCTCTCTAAACATGCTCACCCTTTTCGGCTACAATTTCACAATTTTTTTTCATTTACCTTCACTCTCTGTCCGTCTCTCTCTCTCTCTCTCTCCGCTTTTTCTTTCATTCTCGAATATTATTTTTCATGATTTTCCTCTTCCCTTTACTCCCTCAACATTTTTATCTCTCCGTCTTTCTCCTCTTCTCTCTCTTTCTTTCTATCTCTCTCTCTCTCTCTCTATTCCACTTTCCAAGCGACATGTGATGATTTATCCTGTAAGATTTGTTAAATTTTGGTAAATATGAATATGATTTTTATTTGGCCCCTGATTGTATTAACAGGTGTATATATCATGTTTCTTCTTCAGAATCAACTACTACACAAGACACCATAACGATGTCTACGATTGAAGCCACCACCTCACATCCTACTACTACTACTCGTAAGGAAAATACATTTTCACAATCCCCCCTCTCTTTCCCTCTCTCTTTCTCTCTCTTTCATCTCTCTCTCTTTCATCTTTCTCTCTTTTCCTTTCTCTCTTTTTCTTCTCTTTCTCTCTCTCTCCTCTTCCTTCTTCCTCTGTTTATTCCACTTTTTCTTACATGATTATAGAATTATGCTACCGCGTAAAGTAACATCTTGTTCTCGGCAGGCACCCAGGCGTCAAAAGCTGGGCAGTAAATAGTATAGTAATAATAACTGCTTTGAGAGACAAACTTGTTTTTAAACGCTCAAGGGGAGGTTACAATCGTGCTATTGCCCTCGGCTTAACCTCCCCGAGAGCGCATAAAAACAACTATGTCTCGAAAATTAAAGCAGTCACTATTACTTTTATATACTGAAAAAAGAGTCAACTTATGACACCACCTTTGCTTTTCTCTAGTTTATCTGCACGGTTGTTTTTTGTGAGTGTATCTTTGAGAGTTAGATAGTCTAGATCTAAGTATGTAGCATTTCCTCCTAATTCCTCACAAATTTCAAAGCTGTTGAGTGTCATAACATCAATAAATACCTTGTCCTGAAGACCAACAGGATCATCCAAGGGTACGTTTATGCTCAATTTTGAAGGCAGAATGAGCGATTTGAAAAGCTCATCGTAAACGTTTATCGTAATCGCAGTTCCACGGTGTACTGTTTATGCTCACTTCTCTGGCTCCTCCAGGCATGATTCTGGCTCAGAGCCAGAATCATGCCTGGAGGAGCCAGAGAAGTGCAGTGCAGAGTCTGCACTGCGCATGCTACGTTGACCCCATTTAAACGCGTTTACAAATGATTGTGCGTTTATGCTTCCCCAGAATCGCCGATCCAAAACGCACCTTTTCGTGAGTTTACGATCAGCGATTACGATCACCGTTTTTCTGTGATTCTACAAAAATGAAAAAGGACGCAACCGTGTTTTGAACTAAACGCGTAACAAATGCCTCATTCTGGCCAGAAAAAGTTGAGCATAAACGTACCCCAAATCGAGCGAACCTTGGATTTTGTCCATGTCTCCTGCCGAGACAGCTGGTTTGTGAGTCACAACTCCCTTTCCTTCTTGTTTAAGCATTGCTGAAAAACGCTTAAAAACCATCGTCGAATTGGAAAAATCTTCATGCTTAATTTATGATGTCGACATTGTTAGAATTGAGGAAATGACGCCGAAGTCCGAATCTAACAGTTAAAATTGATTTCTTCATGCATACAAAACCGTTGTTCCGTCTAGACTATAGCACCAGTGTAAAACTTTTGGAGTAGGCCTAGGCCTAGATCTACGTTGTCCAGCTCCAAATTTGGCAGTTTTTTTACGCTATCGAGGTCTGTGTTGATAACTTGCAGCTAGCCTAGATCTAGACCTAATCATGGAATATATTTATGAAGATTTTTACGTACCATTTTGGTGTTCTTGCTGTCAGCAGAATTAATCAAATCTTGAAATAATTGATCATCATCAAGAAGTTGAAATCTAGGAATAGTTTATTCAGGCATTTTTGCCTTGTTTGGAAACTATAAGTAGAATCTAGGTCGGATTTAGTAGTACGATCGACATCGTCGGTCGTCTTATTAAAAAATATAACAAGTTAAGCGACCAATTCGCACACACACAATGTATGGTATTCGCTCTCGCTCAAATCATATTTTAACACGTGAACCAATAGGTATGTCAGCAAGATTGAACTATTTTCCCGGTAACTGTAATTTGCCGGGATTTTACTGATTTACTCTACAACTATTGCATAGGTTTGGCATTTTTCGTTTATTCACGGGAAAGGCTTAAACCACGACTGCAATTTTGACCAATCAGAAGGCTTGATTTCATAAGTGAGGTATATAACATGTGATGATGTATCCTGTAAGATTTCTTAACTGGCCCCAAGTTGTATTATCAGGTATATATATTATATTTCTTCTTCAGAATCAACTACTACACAAGACACCACACCGATGTCTACGATGGATACCACCACCTCGCATCGTACCACTACTACTCGTAAGAAAACCACATCTTCTCTCTCTCTCTCTCTCCATGTCTCTCTCTCTCTTTCTTCTCTTTCATATCTCTCTCTCTCTCTCACTTTCTTCTCTCTCCCTCTCTCTTTCTCTCTCTCTCTCTTTCTCTCTCTCGCTATACCACTTTTACTGACATGATTATAGAATATGCTACCACGTAAAGTGACATCTTGTTCTCGGCAGCCACCCAGGCGTCAAAAGCTAGGAATTAAATAGCATGTGATGATTTTATCCTGTAAGATTTGTTAAATTTTGGTAAATATGAATATGATTTTTATTTGGCCCCAGGTTGAATTATCAGGTATAATATATATAATTTTCCTCTTCAGAATCAACTACTACAGAAGACACCATAACGATGTCCACGATTGAAGCCACCACCTCACATCCTACCACTACTACTCGTAAGAAAAATACATTTTCACAATCTCATCCTCTCTTTCCCTCTCTCTTTCTCTCTCTTTCATCTCTCTCTCTTTCATCTTTCTCTCTTTTCCTTTCTCTCTCTGTATATTTTCTCTCTCTCCTTCTCTCTCTCTTTTCATATTTCTCCCTAGTCACTTTCCAATTCTCTCTCTCTCTTTTTCCCTCTGAATTTGCCTATCTTTCACTTAGTGCAAAAATGTATTCGTTTTATTTTTCCTTTCCTTACATTCATTTTTTCTTTCGGCGCTTCTTTTGAAAAAGTTTTTTAGAGTTCCATATTTAATACATGTATAATTGTCTTTTTCGAAATTGTAACGATTGATGATCGTATATGCAGTGGCATTTACTCTTTTTTTATAATTTGAATTTTAAAAAACAAGTAAGACCAAGAATTAGCCTACAATAGGCTGAAATCTTTAGAAAGTGTAAATGATAACATTGAAGAATAAAAGAGTAGATGTAGAAGGAGAACCCCTATTAACATGGAACTAATGCCTCGGAGAAGAACAGAGCTGTTTAATGGTTCTGAATAGAGCAATCTTTAACGTATATTCTTTGAATAATTTATGTGCCTATTTCTTAAACTTCATATGTATTGATACGGATCTTTTCAGTTTATCTACTGTAGGTGATATATACATTATCGAAACTTTGTGGAATAAATTTCCTTCCTTTCACCCATCTGTTTAAGCATCGACTGCCAAGATCTTTGTGACAGATGAAAGCACCGAAAACAAGATTTTTGTTGCATATCTACGAGACGACCTAGTCTTCACTTCTATACCATCCACTAAAGAACCGCGTTATATTACCTATGATTCCGTGGAGAAGAAGATCTACTGGACTGACAAGGATACAAAACGAGTCTATCGTGCTGATGAGGATGGTGGAAATAGGGAAGCGGTCACTTCTGAAAGCGGTGATGGTATGATGTATTCACGTAGTCTTAAAAAACAATCTTGATATGATTGTATGCATTTTGCGAGGAATAATGTAGATCAGAATATGGTGTTGTTTGTATTTACAATCCAAACATAATAATACTCGTGTGGCTAAGTTATTCATATTACATACATCACGTTGAAAATAGAGCCAATGGTCTGGCAGATTTTCCATATAAGAGATGCAGGCTGCACACCTTATGTAAAAAGAAAGTTTATACACATGTTTATATAACATAAAGTTGAGGGTTGTTGACATCTTTATTGAATGGAATCAGAAAATGATATTGATACACTGTTGGTCATAATGGTGGAATATTTTTTTTACCCCAATTTATGAGATGATTGTGACAATGATGTATTCCTAATAGATATAGATAATAGTATACATTCTAATATTTTCTTTAATAATAATTTGTGAGTATTTGTTTTGCGGGACTGCTAAAGCATGTGTGTGCTTCTATGCACATCAAACGAAACTTCAATTAGTTATCAACAGTTCATTGCATTTTGCCTCGACCCCCAACATAAACAAATCCTCTATGTGGACATGTCTTGAACCATAATGCATGGCCCTACAGAGGATTTTTTTCCTGTTGGGGACCGGGGGGAAATGCAATGAAATTATTGATAATTGATTGCATTTTCTTAGTTTTTTTTGTATTTGTGGGGGCGGCAAAGTACCCTAGCCCCCGCTGCGTACAGTCATGATTCATTGGCTAAGCAATAGCCTCGTTACTGTGAGTCCCCGGATTCAAGACCGTGTCGATCAGCTATATTAGTGCCCTTTTGTGAGGCATCAATCCTCATTTCTGTCAGTTATGACTTAAGGACGTAGGTCCCCTAGTCGATTAGGATAGTAGCAGACACATGCTTTAGCAGTCACGCAAAACAAACACTCACAAATTATTATTCAATAACATCTGAGAATGTATACTATTATCTAGATCTATTGGGAATAATTCATTGTCAAAATCATTTCATAAATAGGGGTGAAAAATAATTATTCCACCATTATGACCAACAGTGTATATCGACCGCTATGAGAGGCCAAGCTGTTTTTAAAGGCTCAAGGGGACATTGCATCCTGCCATAACCCCTCAACGCCTGTCTCCGAGAGCCAGTACAGAAACAGCTAGGCCCGAATATTAAAGCAGTCGATATATTTGTATACACCGAATTCACACAAAATTCTACCAAGAATTCATACCTTATCCTTTTCTTGAGTAAAGATTGGTCAAAACATCACAGAAAATCTGAGACACTGTCTGTTAATCTTCGCTGGAAAAATGACTGAATGTTACAATCAATTGGGAATCGCACACACACTGCATTGTATGGTATCTGCGCTCGCACAAAGTAACTCTTAACACGTAAACCAAGGGGATCACATCAAAATGTATTTATGCGGCCCGTTAATCGCGGCATGCGGGTATCTTTTCAAAAGATTATTGACCGGTAGGCGGGCATGGCTAAAATCACGACTCCAATTTCCACCAATCAGATGGCTAGATTTCTAAAGAGAGGAATATAATATTATTTAAAGGCCTCCTCACTATTATGGGGTTAATGATCTCCTTATTTATTGCTAATTCGTTTCATTATTTCATTTGTTAAGAGGTATCACCTGCCTTGTTCCGACAAAATTTATATTGTTTTAATTAAATCCTAGAACTACGAGGAATTGCTATTGACGAGACATCTCGCATTCTCTACATCGCGAACAAAAGTCCGAAGAAAATAACATATGTATCGATCGCACAAGGAAGCTCGTTTCCTAGGGATGAGACGCCCTTTACGACCGAGTTCTCTGAAGAGCTATAT